GGGAGGGTCAGTGCCTTTCTGCAAGTAAGTAGCTAGCCTGTAAACCTAAATACTTCATGAAGGGGTTTATGCATGGCAGATCTCCTTACAAACCATGTAACTGTCTTCCTGCTGGTGTTACTGAGCATGTCTCTGCAGCTCACCCTTCTGAGTGTTTTCCCTATCCCCCCATTTACCCCTCGCCAGAACTCTGCGTTGGGTACTTGTATTAGCCCTGTTTTACAGATGTGGGCTCTGAAGCCCCGAGAAGGTGAGTATCCTGCCCAAAGCCTCAGGCTGAGTAAGTGGCAGAACAGGCCAGGTATGCAGGTGTCTGACCTGGCCTGTCCTCCACTACCTCTCCTATGCATGCCCCTTATATACCCAAGGGCAGGTGCTTTCTCCTTCTGCCTTGTTCCAGAACAAAACTGTATTGTCCTAACTGGCAGGCCGGGTTCCCAGAGGCTTTCATCTCTGCGAACAAAAGCCATTCCCTGTTGAGTAGGTCACCCAGCCTCCTGCGGAGTAGATGCTGGCTTGGGATGCTCTGCAGATAAGTCTGTGTTCTCATCTCCCTGATGGCTTGCTTTTAATTCAAGTCTGTTAACTTATCTAAGATGAAAAAAGGAGAGGTGGACGCACACACAGTTAAACTCAGGGACTAGAGAATGAGGCAGAGATGATTCTGGACTGGGAGGCAGCGGATGGGCAATTCTGATAGAGTAAATACCCAGGGAGTGCCAGGTGGTGTGTGTACTAATAGGAGTTTCAAGAACTGCCCCTTCGTGTGACTGTGAGGCTTCAGACAGGGGGGACCCAGCTGGGCTGACCCTGCTTTTCCTCCTGTTGCAACTACGTATCCCCCAGCAGACTTCTGGAATGTGGTTCCCTTTCAGCCAGTTCCGGAATAGGGGCTGCCGTGCTGACTTTTGGCATCTCTCTGTGTTTTAAATGCAAAGGCCCCTTGAAAGCTGATCAGAAACACCAGCTGCTGGCCTTTTAAAAACCTGGGGTCTTGGATTCTGTCAATGTCAACTTCCTGGCGGTGATATTGTGTGAAGCTTAAGCAAGATGTTACCCCTGGGGGTCCCTGGGTGAATGGTCTGAGGAGCGCTCTGTATCATTTCTTAGAAGGGCAAACGAGTCTACAAGTAAATCACAAAATAACAAGCCAAAAAAAGGGTCTTCTATATACTACAAACTGCTGAGGAGTCCTATATTTGAATTTTCAAGGAGCAGCTTATCTCCCCTGTGTCTAACACTTTACCAATATCCCACAAACATAAAAATAGGATACCAAGAACACACAAGGCAGTAGAAGGGAATGGAGTGCTGACACAGGATGCTGCAATGCAGCTGAGCCTTGCAGATACGGTGGTGAGTGAAAGAAGCCAGACACAGGAGGCCCCCTGCTGTATGATTCCGTTTATGTTGGATGTCCAGATCCACAGAGACAGAAAGCAAATGAATGGTTGCTCACGACGGAGATAGGAGGACACCTGGGGACAAGGGACTATTGATGGTTATAGGGTCTTCTCCAGGTGATGGTTGCACAACTCATTGACTAGATTAAGAACCGTTGATTTGCACGGTTTAAATGAGCAAAAGTGTATATAGTATGTGGATTATATAGCTCAGTAGAGCTATTAAAAAAATGTAGGTCCTTTGGCAGTTTCAAGAGAAGTAATAACAGTCCTGTGGAAATAGCTGGTGTCTCCTAGATGAAAGCATTTCCTGACACTGGTTGTAACCCCTAAACCAGCCCACTGTCCCTGGGGCATGTTCTCGGCTCCCTGGAAAAGCAGAATCACAGGCCTCCCGCTGAAACCACAGTGGTGTTTCCGATGGCTCATCCCGAGGGAATGAAACCCAGTGTGTGCCTGGCTTCTGCCAGGTGCTCTCACACAGGCTTTCTTGAACGTGCAGCCCCACACAGTAGGTAGTTTCATGCCCACAGTTTATAGGTGAAGAAATGGAAGCCCCCGAGAGCGTGTGCAGCAAGGGAGGGCTGCAGTGAGAGCCACAGCAGACCAGGCGCTCTATGACCCCAAAGGCCATTCTCTCTTCACTGCCCAGTGGGATGCTGGGTTGGTGGGTTTTCCGTGGCATCTTCCACTGTCTTTCAGGGACAGGTAGCTTAAGAAAAGGCCTTTGAGTTCCATGCAAGTCATTTCCAGGCTTATGTCCTCAGGGGGCAATCTCTGCTCCCTCCGGAAGTGAGGATGACATTCCGCCCTGCTCCATGGAGCAGCTCATCCCCAGGGGGCTTTGATGGAAAGAGAACTGTGGGAAAACAGGAGGAGGCTTTTCACGGACACATTTCTGAATGTCATTAGCCCTTAGAGGAAACGTGTTTATTCCCCTGAAGCTCTCAGCTTTGTCTGTGTCCTGCCTGTTCAAGAATCCTTGACTCCAGGGAGCTATATTTGGAAAGAGATGGAAGTCATAGCACTACAGCCGGGGAACCCGATGTCATTGTATGTGATAATGCTGATGTGTAGGTAACAGGGCCCTTGTGGTAAAATGGGCATGAGTGGAGGCGGCAGGACAATAAATGGGAAAAGATTTGCTCTCAGTTGGTGATGTTCAGAGTGGTCCAAGGCAGACTCATTAGTTCCCAGGTTGCTTATTCAAAATGCACATTCTCAGGTCCCAACTCAGGCCTACGGAAATCTGAAACTTGGGGGTCCTGTCTAGGAACCTGTGTTTTAATAAAGTATCAGGAAAATCCTTTCACACCCTGAGGTTTGAGGAGCAGAGCACCAGATAATCTGACACCCTCGGAGTTGAGCAGGAGAGCCTGGTTGTGTTCTCGGGAGAGCACCTCCTTCTCTGCTTAAGCTGATGCTGCAAGGTGGAAGGTGAGCTGGAAGAGAATGCTTGCTCATTGATTGGAAACGTGTGGAGCCCTTGCTCTGTCCAGGCACTCACTGCTTGAGGGAGTTTGCATCCTGGTGGGGGAGTCAGACCGCAAACGCGAGAAACGGATGCAGAAACTACTGCACGTGGTGAGGTGACACGTAGCCCGATGGAGGAGGATGAGGAGGAGATGCATAAGTAAAGAGCAAGGAGAGCAGACTTCCAGAGAGAAGGAACAGCTGGTGGAAAGCTGGAGGCGCAGAGGAGCTGGGCAGGGGCAGGTCGAAGGGTGAGCACCGGCTAGGTGGCCTGATGGTGGCGGGCAGGGGGTAGGTGGCAGAGGGGGCACTGGAGAGATGAGCCAGGACCAGACCCTCAGGACGAAGGGGAGGAGTTTGACTTTTACTCTGACAGTGGTGGACAGCTACTGAAGGATTTCATCAGGGCAGGGACAGGATCTGATGACCGATTTAGGACCCGTCTGGCTGCGTATGCAGGCTGGTTTGGACGGGGGCAAGAATGAAGCCAGGGGTGCTCCTAGGGAAATTCTGTCCCAACTGTGATAGTTACACAGTCATGTTTTCATCTTGTATTTTTTGCAGGAAGCCAGGGGGTACAACTTAATTGGAACTGTTTTGTCAACAGTTTCTATGTTAGCATTTTACAGATGGGCCAGGTTTGCACTGCAAGTGTACATTGTCATTGCTTTCATTAGATAACATTATATGTATTACAGTACCAGCTCTGTATGTACCCATTTAATTAGACATACTGCTGCCTATTTAAAAAATTGAATTTTGTTGGAAGAAAATTCAGCTTAGATGTCCATATTTTTGAGACATACAAAGCCAAGCTCTGTTGATTACAGTTTTGCAGCATCTGCAAGTTTTAATTTGTTTCAGAAATCTGAGCTCATTAGCATTGCCTGGGCTGACATTTTCTTAGCTGAGAACTGCCTACCTGGGTGTAGAAGATCTAATAGTTTATTTAGAAGAATGATTCATTGCTGTAGGTGTCGGGAGTCCTGGGTTTTATCTTTTTTGTTGCGTAAGTTTGATTTGACCTTGGACAACTCATCTGAGTTTGTATTTTAGTGTCTCTGTGCAGAAGGTAGGTAATAACAGTTCTGGTAAACCTTCAGCATGGTAACTGGGCAACAGCTCTCTGAGGCCTAGGAGAGACAATAGCATGGGCAAAGGCCCTGTGGTGGAAGGGAGCAGGCGGATACTGTAGGAACTGAAATGTGGTTTGTGTGGTTGGAGAGCAGAGTGCAAGGGGGAAATGGTCCAGGGGGATGCTGGAGGTGGGCAAGGCCAGGTTGGGCAGGATCTTATATACCTTGTTGGGGACTTTAATCTTCATCCAAAGAGCAAGGGGAAGCCTTCGGAGGATTGAAGTAGGGGAATGACGAAAGGTTGATAGATATGTGATCTCATTTACTCCTCACAACAAGTAAATGTGGTAGGAAATATCCCCATTTTAAGCCAACACAGAAGCTTAGGAAAGTGGAGAGTAAGTAGCTTACCTAGGAGCATGTTGCTGGAGCCAAGAAACAGGCTCCAGTCAGCCTGAGTCCAGAGTCCTCTGTCCTTCCTATCAGCTTAGCTTAGTAATAATATAACAGTAACCATCATTTTAAAATGCTTTGAACTCTTAGGATGAAAGATCTTTCTTGACTAAGTGGTACTGTGCAGCCGAAACGTGAGCGTCGCTGGCAGTAGATTAGGCCCGTCTGCGTGGCTCCCGCCCAGCGTCTTCAAGGTCCTGGGTGTCTGGCCGGGCCGTCTCACAGGCAGCTATCAGCACAAAGAAGGGTTTGGCGGCTCTGGCCGGCCATCTGACTCTGCCTTTGTCCATAAGGGCTCATTGTCTGTGAAATGCACCCGGGGTGTTTGCTCTCAGGGATTTCGGTTGGGAAATCAGAGCTGGGCAGTTCATGCGTGGTTTCACTGGCATAGTCGTGCCATGCCCGGTTTCGGCTCTTTGCTCTCTCCCTCTTGGGTGTCAGCTGGTTTACGTGGATGCTTAGAAGCTGGCCGTTGGTATCACCAGCTCCATTTTGAACACATGAAGCTGCACTTCCAGGTGAAATGGGAAAACAGCTGTGGGCCTGTGGCCCTAAGGCTTCTGCTAATGGTGCCAAATGTCTGTTCTTTTCCTAGTTGACCATGTCGTGCCTGAGCCCGGGACGAGCCTGCTGGCCGCCTTCGACCAGTGGAGGGAATGGGCCGACAGCAAATCCTGCTGTGACTACTCTCTGCATGTGGACATCACCGAGTGGCATAAGGGCATCCAGGAGGAGATGGAGGCCCTGGTGAAGGACCACGGTAGGTTGCACTGATCCACACCCTGTGGGGATGCATTTCAGATCCTGAGCTGGCATAGCTCTGTGAGGAAAAGCTCTGTGAATAGTGCCCATGGATCCCTTTCATGCCTTGCCCCTGTGCCTGCAGGGAGAGAGGGCTGGGTTGCAGCTCGAGCTGATTGGAGCTAGCAAAACCCAACGCAGAGACAGAAGCTTGCATTGAGAAGAGAAGCTGAGCCCTATTACAGGATCTGATCTATTTGTATGGAACAGCTGCATGCTTCTTCTTGGTTTGCAGGAACGGCGCTCCTTAGCGAGGTTGGCTAGTTGAGTCTGCAGACTGATTGGCCCTTAAAGGGAAACGATGCATATCCCAGTGAGGATTCTGGCTGTCGTAGGAAAGTGCCCCAGACTCTGACAGCCTCTTCCTGCAAACCTGGAAGAGCCAGGGTAAATTTGAGGGTGAGGGGGCTCTGGGACAACCTGTGGGAGTCCGTTTTTGTTCCATAGGACTATTTTGGGGAGCAGGATTCCAGGTTTGGGTTCTGAATGATTCCAGGAAGGTTGAGGAATCTTGCCAACCTCTGTGCCTCTGAGATCCTCTTGTCCACAGGAGTCTTGGGGGTTTAGGTGGTATGCCAGATTATATATCACCTTCTTGGGTCCCCTTGAGCTTGGCCATAGCAAAGACTCCTGGGGTCAGTGGATCTTAATTGCCAGGGAAGCACCTATTGCTTTTGAGTTCTGTGACTTCTGAGCTCAGAAGTACCAGGAGCTGTGAGTAAGATGGCAGGAGGGAAATCTCTAGGCATGGCTATGGTAGAAATCCATAGGAATGATAGGAAGAGTTCAGAATGAAAATCTAGAAAACCTAGGGTTTATTTCTTTGCTCTTCCACAAATTAGCTGCATGACCTTGGGCAAAACGCTTAAATTTTATGACCCTCAATTAAAAAAATCTTTCACATGTGGGAATTGGACTAGATAGCCTAAGAGTCTTTTTGGCAGGAAGGTCCCACATACAAGAAGATAGACAGCCCTTGATCTTTCTTTTGAGAATATTAAGACTCAGCTTTCCATACTTAAAATGAATCTGCTTCACAGCAGCCAGGAGGGTTGCCATAGCAACTGTTGCCTGGCAGGACAGAGGGGTTGGGTTAGCCTGAGGCGTTGCACTCAGGCATCCCCAGGTGGCCTGAATTAAGCTCCAAGACTAGAGGATTGTCAGGACAGTTGTTTACCATGGCGATGGATGTTGGGCAGGGCTGTTTGGTGCCTTGGGAGGCAAGAACTCTAAAATGCCAGCCCGAGAATTGCGACATCAGCTTGGTGCACTTGTGGGCCTTTTCTTACTGAAAATGGTTTCTTTAAAGTCAGCAGGGAGGGCAGTCTGTTTACCAAAGAAAGAGCCTTTTGATAGCTCTTGATCCACAGACTCTTCAGATTCATTTTCTTGTTAAAATCATAGCAATTGGGGACAATTTTTGTTTTTAGTTTTCACTTTTAATTGTGGCAAAATACAACACAATGTAAAATTTGCCATCTTTAAATGTACAGTTCAGTAGTAAGAAGGACGTTCACTTTGTTGCGCTACCATCGCCACCATCCTTCTCCAGAACTTAACTGAACGACTGTGCCCATTAAACCAGGATTTCCCTTTCTCCCTCCCCAGCCCCTTGCAAGCACCATTCTATTTCTGTCTCTATGGACTTGACATATAAGTGGGATCCTACAGTATTTGTCTTTTTGTGATTGGGATATTTTACTTAGCATTGTGCCCCCAAGGCTCATTGCATGTGTCAGAATTTCCTTCGTGCTTAAGGCTGAACAGTATTCCCATTGTATGCATACACCACATTTTGTTTATCCATTCATCTGTCAGAGGACGCATCTACCCTTTGGTGAATTGTGAATAATGCTGCTGTGTGTGTATGGGTATACAAATTCAGGCGACTTTTAATTTTCATAGTTTTAAACTTAGAGAAAAACTCTAAGACTCCTAAAAAGAACTTTGCACCCTAGTCCCAGATTGGCTGATTGTTTATATTCTGCTGCATTTGCTTTATATTTCATCTCCATCTCTGTCTCTCTCCTCTCTGTTTCTCTCTCTTCCTCTTTCTCTCTGCATATATGTATGTAAAGAACTATAACTTTCTTATTCCCTTCCAGATTATTTGGTTTATCTATTAAAGCCCCATCTTCACCTCTCTGTTGCTGTTTCTGTTCACTAGGGGTAAATTCCTTCCTGGTGTACATGGCTTTCAAAGATCGCTTCCAGCTAACAGATTCCCAGGTGAGAAAATGTGCTTTTCTGAACAGGCTTGCTGGCATTTGGTACCCTTGGGCCCCTGCTGTTGTCTTGGAAGCTGCCTCCAGTGTATGAACATCCCTTAGGCTCATGGAAGATGGCTTGTGGATGGCATCTCTGATGTAACTCTACCTTTAGGGACGGTATGAGCCCAGAGGACCTGTGTGCCCCCAGGCTCCGGAATCAGCCTCAGAGTTGCCTGCTGTGGGGCAGCGTGGCCGAGCTGTGTGCTCAGGGACTCCTCAGCAAACCTGGCGCAGGGCCTCCACGGGCTTCTCCTAATCCATGCCCTTTGGGTTGCGTTGCTTCTGTTAATTACTGAGAGGTCCCGCTCTGCCACGTGCAGCCAGAAACACTGCCCTCAGAGCATGTCACAAAAGCCGGCCTTCACAGAAGCACCCAAGGGTTCTGGCTCTGATCCCCTGGGCCCGCAGGGAGGTTACTGTGCTTGTGAACAGGAAAGATGGAAGTCTCTGTCTCTGATCTCCACCCTCAGATCTATGAAGTACTGAGTGTGATCCGGGATATTGGCGCGATTGCCCAAGTCCACGCAGAAAATGGTGACATCATTGCAGAGGTATGGTGTTTTCCTCTTCATCATTTCTTCACGACCTTCAGGGCAGGAGGTGGTGTCGAGAGAGTGAAGGGACTTCTGAAGTAGCTCAACTCCAAGGTCAGAAAAGCAGGGTGACCTGGTGTGAACGCCCGGGGGTGCTGTGCTGACAGTGTCACCAGCAGCCTGGATGTGGGTGTGTCCTGCAGGACACGCAGCCGGTTCCCTTCGTTGCCCAGTGCTGGAGTGTGGCTGCCTCGGGTGGGGCCTGGGAGCGCATGGGCTTTTAGCAGCCCAGGAGAACAGCTGACTGCATTTGGGAGGCTGTAACTGGTCTGTCACAGCTCAGTCTGGGCTGGGCACAGAGTAGCGAGCTCCTCTCTCCATGGGGTCTTGGAAAGCTGAGTGGTCAGCAGTGTCTTGCCTGAGCAACTCTGAGCTCTAGTGGTCAGAGCCATCTGAAGTCCAGCCTGGCTTTCATTCCTGCAGGAGCAGCAGAGAATCCTGGATTTGGGCATCACAGGCCCTGAGGGACACGTGCTGAGCCGGCCTGAGGAGGTGAGCATCCGCGGAGGGGAATGCATGGGTCACTGTCCCTCAGGTGCTCCCGGGCCACGCAGACCCCACTGGTGGGCCCTGCCTGTCGAGAGTGGGGCTTCTTGGATGCTGGCTTGGGCCCCTCTAAGGAGTCACCGTTACATGCATGCGTGTCTTCACAGGCAAAGGGTACTGTGAGCCTGAGCTGTGGGGTAAAGCAGTAGGATTGGTTAGTCTGCAGACCTCCCTCTTTCTGTCTCAAATTCTTCAAGCCCTTTCTTGGGTCGATTCAAATTATGTTTTATTAGCATCCTGCAGTCTGGGTTTTGAGATTCATAACCTGGGGCCTCCACAGTCTGACCAGCCACCAAGACATAATTATGGGGCTCTAGAAGCGCTTCTAAATATCTATAAAAGCATAGAGGGAATTGTAAATTTTTCTGTGGTAAGTCTACACAGGGTTTAACATGATCAACAGAGAGTGGTAGACAGAATCTTGCAGAATTAGGGAGGGAAAATTAAGAGGAGCTAAGTGGAGAGTCCCCCTTTGCTGGCACAAAGGTTGAGAATCCCTGGACGGTGAGGTAGAAGAGGGGTGCTCACCTCGTGTGTGGTGAAGAATCTGGTCTGCTAAGTGAGAATTCCTGGCCTTGTTGGAAGGTGATTCATTAACGAAAGGCTCAAGGTCAGGCTTTCGAGGACCTGGCAGCTCTGAGTGGAGAGAACTCTGGGGAGGCGTCTCAGGAATTGTCTCCCAACAAGGAAGTAGTGATGGAGGAGGGACGCCAGAAAAGGGCGGAAAATCACCAAGGCACTGGATGTCGGCTTCAAGTCGGGACTTTTCCTTCTGGAAACAGGTGGAAGGAGGTGCTTGCTGAGAGAAGTGTGAAGGGGGCCTGTGTCCCCAAACCATGGATCCTGGAGCGCAGGAGGCTCGCACTGGCTCAGGACCCGGGTGCAGGGTGATGAGGGCACCATCACAGGCCGCCTGGGCTGGGGAGGTGGCACCGTATCGCCAGCCTTTTCCCTTGGACTCTGGGGAGGGAAGAGGCAGGGGAAGGAGAGTGTAAGAAAGAGGCAGGAAAAAGAGAAGGCGGAAGCCACTTGGAATGTCTGCACACGCTGAGGGTTTATGCTTCCTTGTTTGGCTTCTTCCTATGAATGCACACAGACAGACAAGCAGACACAGATAGGCAGACGGACACATGCAGGCACACACAGACAGGCAAGCAGACACAGTCAGATACACACAGACATGCCGATACACCTACACACATGGAGATAGACACAGGCACAAACAGGCACACAGACACAGACAGACACACACACACACAGACAGGCAAGCACAGTCACACACACAGAGAAGACACGCACAGACTGGCACGCAGACACAGGCAGATGCATGCTAATTAGGGCCCCAGGGACTCAGATTCTTCCCATGCAAGCCAGTCCTCCAGAGGAAGGGCCCGGACAGAAATGGCTCTCTTGTCCCATTTACTGCTGTGAGGAGGACGGCGCTGTCCACTCCCCCAGGAGCCCCCATCCACACCTATTGCTCCCGTGCAGTCAGTCATTAATAAGGCCTCTGTTCACTTCAAAAGCATTCAGATTGGGACAGAAAATGGATAATCATGTGCCCTGGGAGGCACGGAGGGTTCCAGCAGGGTCTTTCACACTTTACCCTATGGACTTTGAGGTGACCACAGAGATGCAGGACGTCCCCTCCCTGTGCCACCTGGGCCAGAGGCCCTTCTGTTGTAACGGGAGCCAAGGAGAGGGAGGGCCGATTGTTTAGCTATTCCAGGAATTAAAAACACTTGGATGTTTAATGAGCTTTCTCAAGAGCCATTTGGTTTCCTTTGGATTTCTAGACATGTCTCTTCACATAGTTGATGCCCGAAAGGCCAAATGTGAACGAAGTTGTCTTAGTTTATTAAATTAGATTACCAGTTAATGCAATTACAGAACGTTAGTTCTTGGCCAAGCTCCTGTAGAAACGTGGTTAGCTAAGATAATTCAGTTAGGATTGGTTCTTCCTTGTGAAAAATAGCAGCTCTTCATGGAACAGTCTAGCTTTAACCATGGAAGCAAACTGAAACTATTTGTTCAGTAAACATTTTTGGGCACCTGCTATGTACTGGGTGCTCTGATGGGAGTTTTGGGGGTGGGGCATGGAGGATACCAAAAGCCAAGTAAAACCCAGCCCCTTACCTCCAAGAGGGGAAGCCACAGCCTTTTGCAAGGGTTTGGGAGGTTGCAAAAGACTTTTTGAGATCCATCGTTCCATGGTTTCCTGTGTTCCTTCAGTGGCCCCTTTCCAAACACGCCCTGCTTATTCCTCTGTAAGATGTCCTTTGACCTCAGTAGTCTCACCTGATCAGCTATTAGCAGTGATCCCTCTGGGTCTTGGAAATATCATTCACTTAAGCACCAGGTTTGGAGAGTCAGATGATTAACTGGAGTGCCTCTCCCATCTTGTGCCAGAGGTTGTGCCAGGCTGTGGCCGGCCACGGTTGTGCCTTGCATACAGAGGGCCTTTGGTTTACACAAATCTGCCTGTTCCTGACCCAGTGCCCTGTGAGGTTGCCTTGTTCCTGGGGCCATGCTGGCTTCATCTGTGGGCATCAGACGGAAGCCTGGCCAAAATCATATCACTGAATGGCTCAAGAGTATATGGCTGGAATCAAGGCACCAGATTGGAAGAAATTCCCATGCCTGGTGGCTCTCAAGCCTTAGCAGAGAAGTCACCTGTGGTTGTGGGGCCCACCCACAGAGTTCCTGATCCTGTGAGTGTGGAGAAGGGCCTGAGAACCTGCATTTCCTACAGACTCCAGGCTGACGCTGGTGTGGCTGGCCTGCTGACCACACTCAGAAGGGCAGGGAAGGAATTGCCTTGTCATTTCAGCCCACCAGTGTTGAGTGACACTGGGCATGTCACATCCCCCTCCCGCAGCACCACTCGGGTTAGGACCTTGAGGACACAGTCCTCTCATTCACCTTAGCCTTTCTCGGTGGGTAAAGGTGGGCTTGCGGGGTGGGCACCGACTGGGCACAGTTCTCACATCCAGATGCTCTTCTGTAGGTGGAGGCCGAAGCGGTGAATCGTTCTATTACCATCGCCAACCAGACCAACTGCCCCCTGTACATCACCAAGGTGATGAGCAGGAGCGCGGCCGAAGTGATCGCCCAGGCCCGCAAGAAGGGTGAGTGTCACCGGCTGTGGTGCCGGCAGGTCAGGAGGCCCCTTTTCCAGACCTTCATGCCAAGTGGGCCGCTTTCATCACGTTCCAGCATTAACCTAATTACTGCCGAGCGAGGCAGGGAGCTCCGATTTCTCCCTCTGTCCCGTCACTGCGGCCCTGTTAGTATCTATTTAAAGCCTCACATGGCAAAGAGTGGGTGAGCAGACACATTTCCCTCTTGCCCCTACTTTAAAGAAGTTGGATTTAATTTGATGCAGTCTAAATAAACTAGGCACATCTACAGATAATGTCAGTTTCCATCTGCGACAGCATCCTCGTATTGACAAACGCACGTCCCCTCTGTGGCTGGTAGTGATTTCCGTAGGGGTCTTGGGGCGTAGGATGGGGCATTTTGCCCTGGCCTCCTCCTGTCTGGGTCTGGTGCTTGAGTCGCTCCCTATAAAGCACATTGATATATTCTGGGCTGAGGCTGGCTCTCTGTTGGGACCAGGGAAGCCATTGAGAAGGTTCTTGGAAACTAATTTACTAAGTGCAGCTTCCAGCACTGCTTCAGGAGCACCTTATCCATTATGAATGCAGCAGAGCCCTGTCGTAACCCGCCCTTGGCTGTGACTTTAGAGAATCACCCCACAGTCCGTGCCGTGGAGGGCAGCTGCCCGTACGGAAAGCCTGATAGCGTGCGGTTGACTTTGAGGGCAGATCTTGGCCTGATGTGAACATGAATATCACAAAGGGGTCCTCCCTCCCTGCTGCCCCCCTTCCTGCCTTTCACCCCATTGCATTCCCCCGCCCTGGGCCTCTCCGAACCCCTCCATCTTGCCGTCTCCGTTTGTCTCTTGATTTCTGTGTAGCTTTCTCCTGGTCTCTAAATTTCTTTCTTGGCCTCTCTCTTCCTTTCAGTCTCTTTCTATCCCTTTATCTCCTGTGTCTTTCTTTCTCTGTCAATAAGGGAGCAGTCTGACCTCTGTGCTTCTGTTCCCAGTTCTCTGTGGGATGTGAGCCACATGGTGGGCGACCTTGGGTCAGGACCTAGAACAGATTGCTCAGTGACCACTGAGTCAGTCTGTCCCTGGAGATGATGGCTTCCAGATGGACCCAGCAATCCTGGCCCCTGTTCTCGGCGCCCCCGCGGGGGCCTCTGTCCTTAGGCTTCGCCTTATGTGGTTGCTGCATTACTGTCTTGGAAATGAGCCCTCTCCTGGTAGCTAGAGGAATTGCCTTTTCAAAATAAAGGAACGCTTTCCTAAACTAATGACATCTACCCAGAATCAGCTTTGGGTTGTTTCTGGGAGACACTGGATGATTGCTGTTGGGGACCGTCCTTCCCCTGGGCCCTCTGTCACGCAGGCCTGCGGGTGCAGTGTGGGAATGAGCCTCAGCTCCCTAATCACACAGCCAACACTAATCTCAGAATCGCTGCTCCCATGTAGCATGGCACGGTAGGCACAGTCTCAGGGAAGGGGAAGTTAGGGGCAGCTTATTTTATTTATTTTGGTGCCCAGATGACAATAAACAAAAAGTTAGTCAAACATTTTAATGCAATTTTAGTATAATTAAACATTCAGTTTAGCAGAGTTTAAGAACAACACCTTGTTTTCCAATTTGGAGTCCCACTTGTCCAATCTGGAAGCTAGAGGGATCCGGCCTCAGCAGAGCTCTGTCCGGGGCAGGGGGAGCTGGCCCTGGTCGGGGTGGCAGTGCACTGGCGCTGGGCTCCTCCTGTCTGTGCCTCAGATTTCTCATCAGAAGATGCAGAACGGCAGGGCGTGATTCTGTCGTCTGTCTGGTCCTGCCCTTACACTGTGCCACTCGGCGTCCAGTGATGTCCCTCTGCTCATGACTTTGACCCTCTGTGTATACTGGGGGATGAACACTAAGAAGGGATTGCTTCAGTCTGCTCATTCCAGAACCTTCTAGGTGTGAGTCCAACTGTGGTGCCCAGAGTAGCTCTTGCATTCAAACTGCCACCCTTCAGTCCTTGAAAGCCTTGCTGTAGGTGAACCTGAGCTGCCAGCAAGGAATTTTGGGTGCACTTGGGTGCCAGTGAGCAAGAATCAGAAGTCCTAGCTTGCTTTATAGGCTGTTAAGGCTCTTTCCATCATGTCAGAACTTTGCAACAACTTTGGGGGCAGCCCAGGCAGGGATTTTGGTTCTTGGTTGTACATTGCAGCTGAGTGAATGGAAGGTCAGAGCTTGTGAATGGTAGAAATGGGCTTTGGTCCCCCCGCATCTGTCTTCAGGCCGTGAGTGTCCCCATTAACATAGGACTTATTCGTGCTTTGAGAGTATTTTAATCTGAGAAATGCTGTGACCATCTCTTTCTTGGTATCTGTTGGGGTTTAGTTCCTCAACAAACCTGGTAGAAACACCAGCCTGACCTCCGGAGTGATGGGCGCAATGATTCCCAAACAACCAAGAAGGAAGACGATATAAGGTTGTATTGTGGTTTTGTGCTCAGTATTCTGTCCTAGGTCAGATCCCAGCTCCACTCTGTGCTAGCATGTGGTGCCGGGCAGGTCAGGTACCATCTCTAGGTCTCATCTGCCCATGCGCAAAGTCAGTCACAGGGACTTGTCTCTCAGGGTGTGGTGGTGGTAAATGGGATAATGTACGTGGAGATGTGTGTAATAGCTGTGCCCACGGTCATCACCACTCAGAGCCAAAGGGCTGCTTAGAGGAGGACAGCCAAGGTTCTGCTGGCCTCGGGGAAGGGCTCTGCCGAGGACTCTTTTCTGCTTCTGGTGGGCACTTCTCCTTCCTCATGCCCCTGAGACCCCACACGATGGCATGCCACCCCCCGAGAGAGCTGATGTGCTCTGCCAGTCAGCGGGGCAGCTCACTGTCACCCATTCTGTAGATAAGGAGCTGAAGGCACAGCCAGGACCAGAAGATCAGGGCAGTTTTTACTCCTCTAAAGAGCTTAGGCACTGGTTGATTTAATAGGTTCATTTCATGGGAGAGAAACTGAGATGCAGAAATCACACATGTCACCCAGATCACCCAGCCTATGGGAAATAGAACCCACAGCCTCAGCCTCCTGGCCACTCTCCGTCCACTGAGGTGCCGTGTGGGATGTGTCTGGAATGAGCTGCACTGACTGCATTTTGTCCATGTGTGACCCCAGGGTGGCTGCTGATGCCTTCTGGGTGAGAAGGGCAGCATGTGGGCCGTGCCTGATGACCCCCCCTGATGGACAGCCTTCTTCATCCCCCTCCTCACCCCACCCCGATGCAGAAACATGCAGGACGTCTGGAGGCTGCTGAGAGATGGGAAGCCCTGGGAAGTCAGCTCAGGACGACTTTCTGTGCCCTGTGGGCCAGTAGGAATGATTCGGGCATCAGCGAGATGCATGTGGTCCTGGGGACTGAGGGGCCACCCCAGCTTGGGGATGAATAATGTACAACCTAACGGTCTTGAAACCTGAGAGCGGCATATGTGTCGGTTTGTGAATGTCCTAAGTTTCCAAAATGTGTATTGGTCAGGGCTGCTCAGAGAAATAGAATCTATCTATCTATCTATCTATCTGTCTATATCTGTCATCTATCTATCTATCTATCTATCTGTCTGTCTGTCTGTCTGTCTGTCTGTCTGTCTGTCTGTCTGTCTGTCTATCTATCTATCTATCTATCTATCTGTCTGTCTGTCTGTCTGTCTATATCTGTCATCTATCATCTATCTGTCTATCTATCTATCTATCTATCTATCTATCTATCTATCTATCTATCTATCTATATCTGTCAACTATTTATCATCTATCTATCCATCCATCTATCCATCTGTCTGTCATCTATTTATCTATCTTATCTATCCATTCATCTATCTATCTCTCTATCTATCTATCTATTTTATCTATCCATCCATCTATCTATCTAATCTATCTGTCTGTCTGTCTATCTGTCCTTCTATCTAATCTATCTATCATGTATCTAATCTAGAGGCGGGAAGGAGAATGGGGACAAGAGATTGATAGACCTTAAGGAGTTGGCTCAAGGAGTCGCGGCTGCCGGCAATCTGAAATCTGCAGGGTTGGCCTTCAGGCTGGGGGTCTCGGAGTGGTTGATATTGCAGCTCCACCCAAAGGCTGTCTGGAGGCAGAATTCCTTCCCACTTGGTGCCCTCGAGAGGCTGGGAATTGAATTTGTGCTGTGATGCAGCCACTTGCTTGCTGAGTCTCTGGGTTTGGTTTACAGCCTTCTCAGCCCGCAGGCCATGGAGATAAGGCTCTTACAGGGCAGATGGAAACTCTGGGGTCTTTATGCAGCCCTTGGCTGGGGCGTTTGCATCCCTGAGCGCATCCTTTTCTTCCCCACTTTGTCCGGCCTGATGGGGAGAACCAGCCAATCTGCTTATTCTCAGTTTGACAAGTACGTTCCAAGGTGTCAAGTACACAGTCAGCCCAACCTTTGCCTCTTAATGAGTATCTGCTCAGCGGTGATATGCTACCGTGCACGTCTATTGCCCGGCACGCCACGGGCTCTCACCGCTCTCTCTAGTACTGGAAATAGAGTCATTAGTGCCTTTTAATCAGATCTGATTAGAGAGACAATTCTGGAAACCCCAGAACCAGTTCAGAAAACTTTTGATTCTGTTTCTCTAGAACCGCTCTCAGTACCAAAGTCTGGCAGGTTTATCCCTGGATAACCTGCTGAGTTCTGGCCCTGGGCTGAGAGAAAAGGGAAAGAGAGGGAGAGGGAGAGAAAGAGAAAGAGAGAGAGAGAGAGAGAGAGAGAGAGAGAGAGAGGAGAGAGAGTGTGTGTGTGTGTGTGTGTGTGTGTGTGTGTGTGTGTGTATTGTCCTCTTACTTCTCATTCATGGGAAATGACTAACTGTCAGGGCCGGGAGCTGTCAAACATTTCTAAACCCCAGCCTTCCATTCATTCTTCATGAATGCACTGAGGCCCCAGCCTGTCGTGAATAAACACTACCTCTGTGGTTCCGGCCATCCGACCGCGCCTGCCAGGGGCTGGCTCGGCGTCACAGCCTTCAGTTCAGACTTTCTCTGGAGGAGAAAATAGTGAAGGTCTAACTGCCGCCCAGAAAGCGTCAGCAGTGTGTTGAGGAGAGTGCAGAGAGGCGGATTAAGCCTATTTCATGGTTTGTTATTGTTAGTGGTAATTATTTCTGGCATGCAGTTCAGTGTCTGCGCCTGAGGAGGCCCAGAGGCTCATCCGCAGCGCCCCTGGGGACAGTGCTTATAAACCGGGGAGGCGGCCCGGGGTGGTTGCAGGCCCTTGGTGCCCAGAGGCAGGGCCCACCTGGGGGTCCATCTCCCCTGGGGCCTGAGGATGGTTTAGCTCCTGCCCCGCCTCTGGGGGCTGAATCCAAGAGATAAACGCAAACGCAGCAAGGGCCTCTGGGTACCTTGGAATATGAGCGGAGCCGAGCAGAAGGCCCCTCAGGGGGCCCCCCTCCTCCAAGTGCTCAAGTCTTAGCTGGGCCCTGCTCCGGGAATCCTGGTTCAGCCAAGGCAGGCTCTGGTCAGCAGTGGCCTTGAAGCTCTGATCCACTTCTGGTTTTCCAGAGGCTGAAGGCCAAGTTCATTCTTTTGTGGTGAGGTGCGTGTCCCTATGCAGAGAGAGAAGGGGCCCAGCCCCATGTGCCAGTCCCCTGCCCCACTCAGATGTTTTTCAGAGCGAGGTGAAGGCTGCAGTCAAGGGCACTCACACTTACTGGGCTCAGGACGTGTCCCAGGAGCCAGCCCCTCCTGTGTGCACACTGCTGAAGGCTGGACCGAAGAGCAGGTTCAGGGAGGGGAGGAGCAACAGTGAGTGACGGGATGATCAGGAAAATATTTTCCTTGCCCAAGGCTTGCAGCGGATGGTTGGTCATGTTGCTTTCTCCGAGCAGCTCTGTTCTCGTGAACTTTTTCATGTCGACAAAACCAGGAGAAGCTTGGGGTTATGGGGTCTTTGTTCTCCTAATGATTTGCCCAAAGCTCACCTGGGTGCTCAGACAGTAGCTGGTGGGGCCCCCTAGACCTGGCCAGGTCAGAGAGCTACCCTCGGCTCAGCCAGCCTGGCTGGTGCTGGAACCACAGCTGGGGGCCCCGGTCCTGTGAGAGCCGTGGGCCCAGCGCTGGGTACCTGCTCGGCCGTTTGCATTTCATAAGCAGCCTCAGGCTGGGAGGAGATGAGCAGCTTGGACAGCTGCCCACCTGGCTCCTCAGACCAAGTCCTGCTGGGGAGGTTTGAGTGGGTCAGGCACCCAGACTTCCAGCGCATCTGGACGTCGGCCCTTTTCTTCCTGGGGGCTTCCTTCTGGGTGAGGCCCCCTCTGGGCTCTGGTGCCCTGCCTCCTGCCCGGGGAGATGCTGGTCCCCTAGGGTGAGTGGTCTGCGGGCCCTTCTCCTGCTCTGCCCTGGCTAAACGGCGGCTCCCGTAAATTCCTGAGGCTGGAGGGGGCGGCTTGGTGGAGTCATTGCTCAGCGTGGCCGACCGCAGCGGAGAGCATGCCGTATACTAGCCAGAGATAAGTCCTTGGAAAAGGCTGCGGTGCAGAAAGGACACACATTCCTGAGTGAGACGGGTTTGGCCTGGAGGGCGGTGTGTGCGGAGGGGAGGAAACCCCTTGGCAGGTCCTCCACGGTAGGGGTCGGTCTTGTGGTAGGTGGAGATGGGAGGTAAATTCCCAGGCATGGGAAGGCTGGCCTGAGATCAAGGTCCAGCTCTGATGCCTTCAGTTACTAAAATATCACACCCTTCTGTCAATTGAACCCATTTTTATTGAGTGCCTACTATGTGCTGGCAGATTCATTTTCTTCAGAGTATCTCCATCTAGTGGGGAATCAAAAAATTCAAAACTGAGGGATTATTGGATTATTAGAGTACAGATGTAATTGGGTTTTGGAGATGTAATTAAGGGCAAAAGATCACCTTTGGTCTGGATAATTAAGGGCAAGAGATGCTTCACTAAGGACCTTGTTTCTGTTCTTGAAGGCAGAGGGGCTCCTTAAGAGGATTTCATGCAAGAGAATAGCACGGGAAGATTATGTTTTAGGAAGATCACTCTGGCAGTGCCATGGAGCATGAGTGGAAAGGTGGGATGAAGCCTGGGAAAGCAAGACTAGATCTAACCTGATGGGGGAGCTCTGTCAGAATAAGCTGGGGAGAAATGACAGCCACCTAACGTGAGGGAATGTGGAGAATAAATGAAAGGATGTATTCACGGCTTTAAGCTTTGGCATCAAAGGGTGTAACAGTCGCAGTGTTCTGGTTTCTACCTGCATGAATAGAGAGGAGGACGTGATTTGAGCATCAGAGAATTGACATTCTTGGGACAGTGTATCGAGTTGGACTAGGCTTCCAGAAACTCTGTAATCTCATTATTGTAATGGTACAAAGTCCTTTATTTCTCACTCTTACCAAGCTGGCTGTGAATCAGGTGGCCCCCAAGGACAGCAGCCTTCAGGTGGGGACTCGGGTCCAGGCTGGCACGGGGACAGATCCAGAGGGCTGTGTTCTTGCTCTGAAATGCTTCAGCCCACTGATGTGATGTCTAATTCCCTCTCTCTGTCCATTAGCCCGAACTAGACAGCTTGAGGAGGGCTGGGAAATACGGGGAGAGCAGAAGATGCTTTGGTGAGCAGTAAGGTTCAGCTTGAGGTGCCGTGGGTCATCCATCCCAGAATAAGAGTGTAGACACTCCTGGGTCTGGGTGCTTGAATGCAGTCTGAACTGGAGATTGTTAATAGATTTGGGGACCAGCAGTACAGGAGGGGGAAGGCATGCAATCGCCCAGGCAGAGTATGTTGAGTTAGAAGAGCAGGGCCAGGGTGAAGTCTCAGGGAGCACATGCCGATGGTGACTGTGCCTGGCAGGGGTGTCTGACCAGCATGAGTTTCCTCACCATGAGAGGATGCTGGCGCATCTCTGAAGGGGTTCAGGGAGCCCTTGGCACACTGCCAGGCAGGTGGTGACTTCTGGCAGGGTGGCCTCCTCCTCCCCTCGTTGCGCTGCGCTCAGCTCTGTTCTGTTTGGCAGGAACCGTGGTGTATGGCGAGCCCATCACCGCCAGCCTGGGGACTGATGGCTCCCACTACTGGAGCAAGAACTGGGCCAAGGCCGCAGCGTTTGTCACCTCCCCACCCCTGAGCCCCGACCCGGCCACTCCGGACTTTCTGAACTCCTTGCTGTCCTGGTGAGTCCTGTGACTGGTCCACACCCTGCATTCTCAGTCTGCCCTCAGGCCAGGCTGACCTGGCAGCTCACAGAGTGGTGGGCAAAAGTGGTCTCGCAGACAGAGACCTTGCTCCCCAAGCTTGGTCACTAGATGGGAATGTGGTTGTCACTCTGACGTCCTACCGGGAGGATTCCAGATACACAGCCAGGGAATGATTGAGGCAGCAGAAGCGTTCCACTGGGGTGCATGTCCCCCCTAAAGCACCTCAGGAGATCAGTTCAGATGCTTAGTGTTTCATGAAGCTTCAATACCAGGTCATCACATCTTCCTGCATTTCCTGACTCCTGAGCCGAGGATGGGCTGTTTAAGAACCTTTCAGTGATCTGGCACTTGAAGGATGATTTGAAATCCAAGATGCGTTAAAAACTAGTCATGTTTTTTCTTTCCAGTGGAGATTTACAGGTCACAGGCAGTGCCCACTGTACTTTCAACACGGCCCAGAAGGCTGTCGGGAAGGACAACTTCACCCTGATCCCTGAGGGTACCAACGGCACCGAGGAGCGGATGTCCATCATCTGGGATAAGGCCGTGGTACGGAGCAGGGCCCGCTGGCGGGCTGGTCTGCGTCCCCCCCTTCAGCCCCCCTCCCCTTGTGTCGGGGCTTGATGTAGCAGCTGATAGAAGTTGTCCCTACTTGTATGACAGTATTTCCCAGGCTTGGAAATCCAAGACCCCTCCTTGTAGGTCATTTCCTCCTAGATGTTACGTATGTATTTCTTATCATTGGCATCTGTGGATCAGTGGAGAGTGGGGAAAAAAAGTCTTTAAAATAAGATTGTTTTGATCAGCCAGGAAAAAGCTTCTTTAGCAACCTGGTGCCCCACCTTTCTCAGTTAGTCTTCTGTTCTTGGAAATGGACTGTTTCTTGTCCTTTAGGGCTCTCTGGGCTTAAGCATATTTCTATCCACTATAGGCTTCTGACAGGCCTGTTTTGAACAAGGACCTCTGGGCTTTTTCATTTCCAATGTCTTAAAAGAAAGAACAGGCTTTCTGTTAATAAATTTCTTAGATTATGAAAATGATGTATCCTAAATCCAAAAAGAATAAGAAAGTAAGTAAAAATCACTAATAACACCATCTTTAAAATAAAACTACACTTAACGTTTTGGTAAATGTCTTCCCAATTTTTGTCAGTATAAGCGTGCTCTTCTCTGTATATTACAGTGTGTGTGTGTGTGTGTGTGTAAATAACAGTGGCATCATACATACTATTTTGTGGCTTATTTTATTATACAACAGTATATCATGAATAAGTCTCCACATCCTTAAATATGCTTGAAAAATTTGATTTTAATAGCAGATGATTCACTTAATGCTAATTTATTTAGCTTAACTGTAATTTATTTGTAACTTGGAACATTTATGTTGTTTCTTATTCTCTTATTGGGATATACATCCTTGTAGACACATCTTTCATTAGGCCTGTAGAGGAAATTTCTAAAAGTGGTCTTGCTGGGTTGAAGGGTGTATGTATATTTAAGGCTTTTGCTATATATTGTCCAAGTTCTTTCTAGAAATTACACTAATTTGTATGCTGCAAGCAGTGCATACATTCCATTTCTTCTACCAGGTCCAAACTACTGTTACCAACAAACCCAGAAGTATTGCTATTTGGTGAATTTTTGTCTTACATTTAATCTCTTCAATCGCTGATAAGAGTGAATTTTTTTTTCATGCAATTATTGGCCATGTACCAGCTCATTTCCTTTGGCCATTTTTCTTTTAGCTTTAGAGTACATTTCCTAACTCAGAGATATACAGTCATTTCCTCAAATCTTGCATTTAAAGGAAAGGGGTGCTCAGTGCTGGAGATGGGAAAGTGTGGGGAGGGACATGAGGAGACGTGATTGGCACCTGTGCTACGCAAAGCCAGACACAAGGCTGTGACTTGTCGGTTGTCTGGACTCGCAGCTGAAGTCGGTGTCTTTATTTTTTAAAAGAACAGCCATTCAAGCCACTTGATATTTCCTGGGGGGACATTGCAGCTCCTTCAACTTTCTTTTTAAGTTTTCATGTTGAAATAATTACAGTTTCAGATACAGTTGCAAAGATGGGACAGAGAGGTCCTGTGAATGCCTTCACCCAGTTCCCCCGGGGTTGCATCTTCCATATCAAAACCCAGAAGTTGACGGTGGTGTCTGCGTGTAGAGTCGTCACCACAATCAAGACACAGGTTTCCTCCACCACCACAGAGCCCAGCTTTGCACTGCCCCTTTATGGGCATGGCTACCCCACCTTCGGGCTGTTCTACGTCTCTATAACATGGTTATTTTGAGAATGTGATATAAATGAAATCAGACGGTGTGTAACATTTTGCGATTGGATTTTCCCTCAGCATAATGTTCTTATTCATCTGAGTTGTGTGTATCAAAAGTGTGTTCCTTTAGGGCCAAGTCATCCCCTTCCCACTTCTTAACTTGCTTTTGGTGTGTGTGCATGTATGGTTCTCCTCAGGTCACCGGGAAGATGGACGAGAACCAGTTCGTAGCCGTGACCAGCACCAATGCAGCCAAAGTCTTCAACCTGTACCCCCGGAAAGGCCGCATTGCTGTGGGGTCTGACGCTGACCTGGTCATCTGGGACCCTGACAGCGTTAAAACCATCTCTGCCAAGACCCACAACAGCGTGAGTCCCCTTGCCTGTGTGGACCTGGTCCACCTGCGTCACTGTCACAGAAGCAGACTGAGGTGCAGAGAGTCCCCAGGATTTATGAAAAGAACTTACTCTGAAAGAAACTAACTTTTCCCCAGGTTATATTATAACTTGGCAATTTGCTGAAAAAAAAATTGCTATTTCCCTTTCTTTAGTGAGATCAGCAAGCCTGTCACTCTTATCATTTTGGAGTACCACAGCCTCTCCATAGATAGAGGGTGTCTATCTATAAACCTTCAGAGCCTCCTGACTCATGCCAGGACATCAGAAGCTTCTAGAAGTCAGGCAGCACCGTGTTTCAATAGTTGGGTGCAGCACCTCTATGGCAGTGCTTTCTGCCAGGGAATTAACTAGAACATTCCAGTGTCTGCTCCTGAGGTGTATTCCACTTACATTCTTTTAAGCCACTGCTTTCTCGTGTCAGTGTGTCATACAGAAACTAAAATGGCAGGTGCTTTTATGGTACTAAAGGAATTAGTTGACTGGCTTCTTGAAGAAATACCCCCCGGCAGGTGTACTGATAAGATTTGAGGGTATCTCTTGCCTCTCAGTCTAGACTGCAGAGCTTGGGGACGGCCTGTCTTGTTAATGAGACCCTGGGCAAGTGACTTTATTGTTGTATCAGGCTCCTCAGCAGAGAATGAGGGGCTTAGATGAGGTCTCTGAATGTCCTGTGCTTCTGTGAGGTCCGGGGACATTGGGCAGAGGCGTTAGATACCATTGTTCTTCCGAGAAAAATGTGTGTGTGTATAAAATGCTGAAAGAACATGGACAAAGGGAGAGATTTGGGAATGAAAAGGCCAGAGGTCAGAAGAGTTTTATTTCAGAAACTCGTAAGAAATTTAAAGTAAATTCTTAATGAATAAAAAGGATTCTAAATAAAGGTCTGGATTGAGAGCTGGCTCAACGGAGGATCTCATTCTAGACTGCCCCCACCAGAAGGCCTGGGCCGGTACCTCCCCCAGGTGCCACCACACCTCGGGCTGGCTTTGGCATCTCTCCTGGACAGCCCTGGGCGCTGGGCCGAATTCCAGTCCTCCCACTTGTGGGCAGAGGCGCTTGGCTACGGGGCTCACCTCTAGCTTCTGCTGGCACGTGTGGGCGCTGGGATGGTAGCAGCCTTCTGGGGAGGGTGCTCAGCAATCAGTGTTTAGAGTTGACATTTTCCTCCTCCTCCACTGGCTGGCTTAGCCTGGCAGCATAGCCTTACGGCCACACGGACTTGTAACTCGGGTCACAACCTGTTGGGGGCCCCAAGGGCTTCTTATGGGCTGGGGTCCTAGGATCCTGTCCAGTGAACCTACTGTTCATGTGCACTTAACATTTCATTCGGCCATCTCAATAAAAGGACAGGATTGTTAACCCGATTGGGAAGATAAATAAATGGCACCTTGCAGAGTTTAAGTGACCGGTCTGATGTTACACGGCTGTTCTGTGGTAGAGCCAGATGCCCAGGACTGACCACCCGCACATGTTCCCTGCCAGACGGCACAGGCAGCCTGTTGGTCAGGCGTAGGTGCATATGTGCTTCCCTCCCTTGCAGAGTCCCTTCCCCGACGGTAGCATGGAGGGTGATGTGGACTTGCTCCTGAAGTTGTAGGTCACCCACCTAGGAGCTTGCCTTTGGAGTCATTACCCAGGCAGAGGAGAGGAGGTGCAGAAATGATTCGAGAAGACAGATTCTGCCATTCACACATTTCCCCCGAACCTCTCCAGACAACCCTGTGTTTACCTCCAGGCATCTGCGCATCAGAAACATGGACACTCAAAAGGAAAAGCCTCTTTTCCGTCCTCACCTGTTTGAAAGAGCTCTCACACACGAAGAATGCCTGTGCAGCATTAATCATCTGGGAGAATACAAATAGGAGACTTTCCCTGTGTAATCCAGTTTCCTTCCACGGGGCTAATTAGCTTTAATTGGGAGCATTTAGCAAACTATTCTTGACAGCCCTGCTGCTGAGCCTCTACTTGGATTTTCCAGGCATCCGGGCAGATGAGCAGTTTTGGGGAGCCCCTTGTGGGTGTAGGTTGAAGACCTGGTGAGCAGTGAAGCCTCACTGCCTCGTGGTTCGACAGAGTAGGTATGCAAAACCCTTAGCTGTGACCTGACCGTTGAACTTGTGGATTTTAAGTCGCTTAGAGTCATGGGGCGGTTCTTCCATCTTCTAGAAATGGGAATGGCCCAAAACTCCTCTAGGCATTTGTGATCAGTCATTTCTAGGCAGCTAAAAACAGATGCAACTTCTGGTGTCTTTGACACTTAAAAGCTTGCAGTCTTGTTGGGAAAGTGCAATAAAAAATGGACAGTGAGTGAGTGAGCATTTTTTAATACCTACCTTGTGCCAAGTAATAGGCTAGATGCTGTTGTTCATTTTATTGCATCTAATTGTGGCATCTGCCCCACAAAGTGGGGCTTATCGCCTTATTGATGAGGAAGCTGAGACTCAGGAGTATAAGAGACTTGTGCAAAGTCATGCAGCTGGCGCGTGGCCGAGCTGGGATATGAACCCAGGGCAGGTGGCACTGCATCCGTGGTTGTTTCTGTTATCCCCGTTGTGTGCCGGAGGAGCTTGTCAGAATGGAGACAGCTGTGGGTGGGACCAGTTGGATGCAGTGCACCCTTTCAAAGGTCATTTCAGAGATGACAGAGCTCAACACAGGTCTGAGGCTTTTTATGGGGTCAGGAGGGAGGCAGGTGAAGAGACTGCAGTTCTCATCTGCTCAGAGTCATGCACTCAGCTCCGGGATGTCAGTAGGTCTAAGATGCCATCGATTTTAAGATATTCCATTAGTTTACATACCACTGTGAAAGGACACACCCAGAGGACTTTAATAGGAGACTCCCTTAAAAATACACCACGCCACCAAGGGCCAGCTTGGGCTTGGTGGAGGATGATTGAGAGGTCAGTTCAGCACGCAGAAAGTGGTGGCAAAAAGCCCTGTGTGCCTCAGCTTGTGGCACTGGGTGCAGGGAGGGCAAAAATGTCTCCTCTGAAAGCTGGTGCTTGTGCCTGTTGGTGGCCAAATTCCTGCTACCAGCATGGCCCAGGAAACCCTCAGGCTGGGAATTTAATGTACAGTGGCCTCAGCATGGTAATCCCCAGGCCAAATCCCGAATCCCCTGGAAGAACCGGGGTCAGTTTAGGCTGACGGCGAATGCGCCCCTCCATCTGCCGTCAGAAACAGTCTCATTTCCAGGCGAAGTGTCTTCGCATCGATGGAAGACAGTCGTAAGATGTGGGGGCAACACTGGCCCAGAATTGACGTATTGGGCCCCCTTTCCTCCCCAGGATGCCTCTCTGCCTCATTCCTTCGGTAGCTTCCACATTATTCCTTTGAGTCTCAGAACTGTGCTGATGGCCCCTTGTTGCTGTTTTCAGTCAGTACCACTGTACTTCGACACCGTCTGTGAGCTGCCGAGCCAGCCCGCGGCTTCTCCACACTTGCCAGCCACTGCACTGAGCAGAGGTGTTCCCCTGAGCTGTGTGGCCCTGTGACAGCAAAGCCACAGTGCCGATCACCTGGCCTGAACTGATCTCCCCAGAAGGCCGAGCTGCTTTTTATGTTTGGAGCTGCCTGTTAATCCTCCAGCCACAGCCGTCTGTGCATTTGGGCAGGGCAGGCAGGGAGCAGCAGAAGCATCCTAGAATCTGGGGAGGTAGCCCTGGGTGAGCCCCAGCTATGGGAGGGGACTGCGACATGTGGGGTGACCGCTATGGCACCCACTGTCTTCCTTGCCTTGTTCTTCAAAGAAAAACTCATGTGTCCATAGAGACCCTGCATATTTTCCAAGAGGAGCACAGATATGTGACTCTTCACCCTGAAAGCTTGAGGCCTAAAGGACAGCTGCATTGTTTGGGAAATTAAACCTTAAACACTTTATCAAAGGCATGTCTCTTAAGTTACCAGGCTTTCATTTAGGACCTTGAGTTCAACCACATTACAAACAGATTAGAAAGCCAGGCAAGCCAGTGGGAAACCCTGCCCCTGAATGGCCTGTTTCCGGTTGGAGAAGGCCTTTCGATTTCAAACTGACTGGAGCTTGTTAGTGAAGATGAAGCCCCTGCTAACGCCAAGAATCATCTTTTTATGTTTCTGTAGCATTTACAAACTCTCCTACTTTTCCATACAATATTTCTGTTCAATTTTGTTTACCCCAAACTTGTGAGAGGTAGGAAAAGATGATTTCGTATTCTAGACAGAGGAATTAAGACAGACATGAAGGGGCTGCTGGTTGCCAGTCAGGACAGGCACTCTGTCTCTGGGCCTTTCTTTGGTCCGTGTAGTGTTGGACGGTGGGTGCTGCCAGGCTGACGAGGTCTCACTGGAAGGGGGATGTGGGCTCTGAACTCTCCTGCTCTCTCCTCTAGTCTCTCGAGTACAACATCTTCGAAGGCATGGAGTGCCGTGGCTCCCCTCTGGTGGTCATCAGCCAGGGCAAGATTGTCCTCGAGGACGGCACCCTTCATGTCACCGAAGGCTCTGGACGCTACATCCCCCGGAAGCCCTTCCCTGATTTTGTTTACAAGCGTATCAAGGCGAGGAGCCGAGTGAGTAGCTCCAAACTTATGCAGTTGTTTTTATCATGGATTAAGTCCAGTTCCAAAAACAGTGACTGAGCTCTTTGAGTCCGAATATCAAGATGAGTATGGCAGGGTTCAGGGATAAGAGAAACATGGTCTTTTTATTTCTGGAGGTCAGAATACCAGCATAGCTGTCAGATGTGTCCACAGCTTAGCCAGGATGAATTCAGACTGGTATGTGTTTGTGATGAGATATGTGGTGAGGTTCAGAGGAGGGAATCATGGTTGTAGAGTCGTGGGGGTAAGTGTCATGGGGAGAGGGCATTTTGATTTGGGTTTTGAAGGTTAAGTAGGAGTTCAATAAGTCAAAGAAGGGAGATGGAATTAGGTAGTGGGAATGCCATGAGCAGGAATATGTACAGTGTATTCAGGGCAGGGTGAACAGTCTACAGCACTGGTGCTTGGGGACTGAGGCAGGGAATAGACAGAGCTGTAAGGGATCAAAGGGAGAGTGAAATTGGAAAGAAAGTTGGGGCCAGATCTTGCACATGAGGCCAGATCCTGGTCACAGCATGTTTAGGGATTCCTATAGAATTTAAGTTCAAGTGTCTTCGGAGAAAATGGTAAGAAATGTTAGTTTTTATGGAGTATCTAGTTCCCCATGACCCACAATGGGGAAGGCTGGCCCCTCGCCATCTGTCCCTGCCATCTCCATTCATAAAGGGATCCTCCATCTCCGGATCTCACAGACCCGTTCTGGGCACCATTCTTCTCCACCAGGAGGGTATCCTGGGTGGTGTTCTGTGTGATGAGGCATGAGTCAAGGGGCTCTTGTGTTTCGCAGCTGGCGGAGCTGAGAGGGGTTCCTCGTGGCCTGTACGACGGACCCGTGTGCGAGGTGTCTGTGACCCCCAAGACAGTCACTCCAGCCTCCTCGGCTAAGACCTCTCCGGCCAAGCAGCAGGCTCCGCCTGTCCGGAACCTGCACCAGTCTGGATTCAGCCTGTCTGGTACGCGATTTTGGTTAGGGCTCTGCTCTGTGGGGCATATGCGGGGAGTGGGCGAGTCTGTGGTTGCTTTTGTTAAAGGGGCAGAAGCAGAAATGAAATGATGTTCCCATCCTTCCCAAAGTGAGAAGTACTAGTATGCCGAGAGATGTCGTTCACAGCAAATGGCCAGTGGGGTGTCAGAAGCTTGCCATGAGTTGTCACATGTAATGTCATGGTGCATCCACTGTGTGTAATACTCAGTATATTAAGAGGTCATTCTCCAGTATATTAAGTCTACCCTGAAGAAGGATGCCTTGGCATTCTGGAATTTCTCTGCTCCCCACATATGCAGTGATCATTCATAGCTTGCAAAAAGTCTGGAGCTTCCGCAGCCTGTTTGTAGCACAGCCTCTAGCTGTGCCCCTGCCTCCTCGTCTCTATCGGGAGGGTAATGACCTACGCAGTTGCTGTGAGGATTAAATGAGTCAATGAAATAATATAATAATAATAATGAGTAAAGTGCTTAGAGCCATTTGACAGTTGTTACTTATTTGCTTGGATGAAATAGGTGCTATTAGGGAGGGTGACAGGAAAGGGTCCAGATTTTAGAGTTTCCTTATTGGAAACCTCTTTCCAGTCCTTCATGCAGCCCACGACTAGACACTGTCCACTTTTCCGGCTCCCTAAGCCACAGATAATGTATCCAAATTTGTATGGCATGTGCAAGAAAGAGTTCATCAGACAGAATTTTTTTTTGTAAGATATACTGGTTTGCAGAAAGTTGCCATCTGTGCCATTACACAGATTACCGATTTTTAAATGACAAATCTTAGCATTGTGATGAAGTGAAGTGGGCCTGATAGTGTCTGTGCCATCTTATTTCCATGGGCCATTCAAATAGAAGGAAGATCCTTACCCTTACTTTTGATGAAACAGTAGCTGTCTAGGGCTCAGGACTGGAATGCCAGAGGGGGCTGCACCTCAGAAAAGCCACCCTTGGTCTGACTAAGGAGTGGAGGGGCAGGAGGTCATCTGAGTCAGACCCAGAACCAAAGTGCTGTTTTCTATATGGCTTTACTTTCCCAGTAACGGGTCCAGCTGGCTTTTGCAAGGATGGCTTCACACAGGCTGTGATTCCTTCCCTAGGTTGTAGTTTAAACGTTCAGGGAGGTTTGGGGAGGACAGAGAGTGGGCCTTTGCTTCCGAGCCGTGCTGTTTCCCTGGAGAGCAGGAACTTCCATACCTGTTTGTGACCCTCCTGCTGTCTCCCCTCCAGGTGCTCAGATCGATGACAACATTCCTCGCCGCACCACCCAGCGCATCGTGGCCCCCCCGGGTGGCCGAGCCAACATCACCAGCCTGGGCTAGAGCTGCAGGGCCACCGTCCACCTGGGGCTGGGGGCCGGGACACACCTGAGGACATTCTGAGAGTTTCTTCCCTCCTTTTTTTTTTTTTAAGAGCCTGTGATAGTTACTGTGGGGCAGCCAGTCCACGGGGACCCCTGGAGACATTGACCTTGTTCACCCACGTCCCTATATGTCTACGAATATGGCACCCAACCCCATACATGACTGCATCCAGCACTCAGACATGCGAAACAAAAGCACCTCACAGCGAGGGCGGTTTTCCTGTCCAGCCTCTGTCGTATCTGTTCTCAGCTTCCTTTTCATGGCGGGAGTGGGGGATAGAGTGAACTGCCCAGAGCTGCATTTTTCTTTTTAAAATTTTAAACATGTTTTCTTTGTGGGGCTGGGGGAGGGTGGGTGGGGGTGGGGGGAGTTTTTTTTTTTAGTACTACACGGGAAGCCGAATCACTATTCACACTAGGGGTTTGAACTGGGCATCTGAAGGATGCAGTTGTACACCCACCGAGCTGACCCGGAGTGGTCGGCAGACTTGTCCCATCTCTCCTGAGAGGCTCTGGAATGTCTGCATCGTCATTCCATAATCTGCTGGGTCAACGTTTGATAAAGAGCAGGTGTTCTTTTTGGCCTAGATCTTGCTGCAGATTCAATTTTTTGAGGATTCCCTTCTCTCCTCTCTTCTGTTCTCTCTCTAGCTTTTACATTCATGCATATTTTCACTTCTGTCTCTGTGTTTCCTCTAGCCCTTGTTTCTGAGAGGATATTTTTTCTCTCCTTCCCCCATTGTCTTTTCAGATGACCAGGTCTACCGTCTACTGTAGTCCTAAGAATCTGCCTTGCAGGATGTGAGCTTTGTCCCCCTAGAATACTCTGTCCTCGTCCATATAAGGCTGGTGCCACCCACCCCCCATCACAGGGATATGCGTTTGAGTTTAAGACGCTTCCCAGGTTCAGAGAAAGACCGAGTTATTCACCAACAGTGTTACCGGTGACCTGTCACAGAACAGAACCTCCATAGAGCCGGGATGTTGAAGAAGTCAGGGTGTAGGACTTGAGAGTTTTTTTCCTCCATGCAGTGTTAATTGGCTGAAGACATGATCAAATCTAAATTGAGCCCAGAACCCAAGGAAGCCAGCCAGCTCCAAGCCAGCCACCAGCTCACAGGGGTGGCACTTTGTGGCAAAAAAATACTTTTTCTTATCCAGTTATTTCAAAAGATATCATGCAGTAGTTCCCCCATATCCATGGGGAGGCCTTCTGAGACCCCAGGGGATGCCTGAAACCCTGTGTATACTGTTTTATCCTATACATGCATACCTGTGATAAAGTTTAATTTATAAATTAGGCACAGTAAGAGATGAACAATAATAAATAAACTAAGACAATTATAACAAGAGACTAATAAAGGTCACAGGAATGTGATCTCTCAAAATATCTTATTATACTATATTCATCCTTCTCGTGATGGTAGGAGGTGATAAAATGCTGCGTGATGAGATGAAGAGGCGAACAGCGTAGGTGCTGTGACGTCGTGTTAGGCTATATGGACCTGACAATATGTCAGAAGGAGCATCATCTGGACCACAGGTAACAAACTGCAGAAAGCAAAACCCCGGGTAACAGGGGGCTGCCATATAGGGAGGCCTTCCAAACAGCAAATTTGACTTAGAAAGTCCATTTTACTTTGCAAGAGTAAAAATCTGTTTAATGAGTGACAGGGTGATGTATCATAACTGTTCGGGGGCGGGGGGGGAAATACCAAATGTGTGGCGCCTTTGAGACCACAGGTGACCTGGTGTCCCCATGCCTTCTGCTCCTTGTCTCAGTGACTCTTGCCACCAGCTGCCTTGTGCCCACCCTGTCTGCGGATTGTGTTGCGTTTCCTCCCGTGTGCGTGCGTGTACAGGTTCTCCTAAGCCGCGCTGTTTGCCGCTTTTATAGAACCCAGTCCGCTCTTGTGAAGCATCGCAGACACAAGTGGGTCACTGTGTCACCGCCCGTGTCTCTCCACACTTGTCTTGCCTCTGGGATTACGGTTGAGGTTTCTTTTGTTGTTGTTGTTTATTTGTTATTTTGAAAGTAAATTGCACTTTTAAAGAAGAATAATTGGTTAACTTAATATATTTGCTTTTGTTCTCTCCTGTACTTAGAGGAAATTTGAACAAGTTGGAAAAAAACCCGTTTTTTGTTTCAATTCTGAGAAACACTTGCAGCTCTTCAGGGTTCACTTGGGCCTTCCTGTTTTCCCTGTGCCAGGTCAGGGTAGTTTTGGTTATTTTGATTGTTTTCTCGAAAAAAACTTGAGACCTGAAGATTTCCGCAGGCTGTATAAGCATGTCTCCCTCTTGGCTTGCTGTGTGTCTGTTAAACGGATGTCATATGTAAATGCTAAGATAAACTGACAGTGTCTCAGAGCTGAATAACCGCAGTGACTTGATGCTCTAAAACAGTGTAGGATTTAATACTAGATGGTTTTTAATCCTTGGAATTGTGATTGTGACCCATGAGTGGAGGAAGTTCCAGCGCTGAAGCTGATCATGTGTGTAGCCAGAAAAATACCCCTTTTTTTTTGTAACCACTGTCTTAATGGCAAAATAATTATGGTAAAAAAAAAAAAAACAAGTCTCGTGTTTATTATTCCTTAAGAACTCTGTGTTATATTACCATGGAACGCCTAATAAAGCAAAATGTGGTTGTTTCAGGGATGTGTCTGTGTTGAGATGTTCAAGGAAGCAGCTGCTTGGCTCGGCCCTCGAGCAAAGCTCCCCTTCTGGAAGCTTCCACAGCCGCCTTTGGCCTTGCTTTGCTGACTGTACCCACGGGGGAGTTTTCACTGTGTGTTGCACGTTGTGACACCCAGGCAGCTGAGGGCTGATTCTGAGCAGAGCTCTGCATGGCATTGCTGAGTGTGAGAAATTCGTGGACTCCATCCGAGAGAGGCCACCGGAATCGAGCTGCACACAGAAGTTTGGATGCGGGAACCCGGGGTTGGGGAGGGGGTGCATATAGGTTAGGCCCCTCTGCGTCCTTACGCTTGTTCACCCGGAAAGTCCTCCAGCTCCATGCAGGCATGGAAGGTGACACAGTAAGGTGTACTGACTTGCAGCCAGAGCTCAGTCAAGGAGCTTGCAGTGCTCCAGGACAGCGCTCACATTCTACCACCTGAGCAAGTGCCACGAGTGCACAGGGGGCATGAGACACACGCATCCCAGCAGGGTGGGTGCTTGCTGCCCACAGTCCTTGTTTCCCTGCGCTGCTGTCACTGGTTCTGAAGATGCTGAATGAAGCGGGTGTGTGCTTGTGGCTGCCTGGGCCCACCTGTGGTTGCAGAAGCCCTTCTCTGGGCCTTTCTGTCTGCTTTCTCTCCAGCCCTGTCTGAACAGGATATGAGGTGGCTTACAAGAGCATATACTGTACCAAGCTTTTATAAACAGGGTTTGAGTGAAGGGGGAGCAAAGAGTAGGAAAAATAAGGGAAGGCCTTAGCACAACACGCCTGCCAGGGGGCTGTAAACTTGTGAGGTAACAGCAAATGCCGAAAAGGGCAATGTCGCCAGAAGATCACAGAACATTTATAGTGATCAGAAAATAAGGTCTTCAGAAGAAATAAAGATTCCTAGTCTTCAGCTCTTCCTTGTTCCGGCAAGGCCTGGGCATCCCGAGGACCGCGCTGGGTGTCTGGGCTGCTCCTGGTAGCACAGCTCCGTGATCCAGGGAAAGTGAATCTGTCCAGGAGAGGGGGGGTAAAAAGGCACGCCCTAACATTTATGGGAGCTGTGACAAGGTTAAAGTGGAGACCCAGCTCCAAAGGCCGTCCCCCCCTGTCCCCACCCTGGCTTCCACACCAACACAGGCCTCATGCTATGAGGACACCCCAGCTTGTGTGTCCAAGTGCTGCTCAACTCCTCGCAAACAGCCACCACAAGCGCTGTCCACACCAGCTGTGAGGTCTGTCCTCTGAAGGCCAGACCCAGCAGAGAGACCCAGGTAGGTGCTGGGAGTAGGTCTGGATCCCTTAGAACTGAGTTGTGGAAGGATGGCCAGAGAGCAGGTTCTTCAAAGAGGGAGTCCATGGGTGCCATGTGGCTAAATAACAGGACCAGGTGTATAACACTTGGGTGGTGGGGTTTAATCTAAAAATATTTTAGAGCATGTAGAAAAAAATAAGTGGGATGCATGTCCTTTAGAAGTGTTTTTGTCTTGTTTTGCCACGAGTCGAAAGTTCTGTTACCTTACAAGTTTCTGAAGCACGCATATTGTGGATGAAAAGGCACATCTATTGCTTTCCCATAAACTGAGGGGGGCATATGTTTTGATGGTGCTTCTGATTAGGTGTCCATCTTTCAGAAAGCTGTTCAGCTATGGGCCTTACTGTCTCTGCAAGATGGGGGAGATCATGTTACCCAGTCAACCGAACTTCCAGCTTTGGACCCCATCAGAAAGGGTAGGGGAGAGGATTGCCGACGAGTAGCAGGGAGCGGCTGGAGACTGTTCTAAGTGTCTCTCCTGAAATAGAAATAGACCAGCGGGTGAAGAGCGATGCCTGCAGGGGTCTTTGGTGGACTAAGGAGGTGGCAGAACTACGAGACAGCAGAGATGGTGGTGGTCTGCCAGTCCTTGTCCTAATAAACTTTATCCCACAACCTGGAGCCATCCAACACGATTACACAAAGTCGGTCAAACAAAACGGATCTGTTGGACAGTCACACTGACAGTCTCTATATTATGTGCCAAGCAGTGCTGAGGGGACTTCACATCGTAGCTCAGTTAACCTCGGTAACGCGGAAGAAGGCGCCATTACTTTTGCTATGGTTGTCCAGAACCAGGCTCTGAACCTGCTCCATCTGGGGCCAGTGGCCCTGTTCATCATTATTATTACACTTTCTCTTAGGAGAAAGCTTTTGTTTAAAAGCATGAGGGGAAAAGATGGTAAGTGGCAGAGAGTAAGACAGAAGGTGCGTGGGAAAAGGTCACAGACAAAGGAGAGCTCAGCAAAGACCGACTGACCTCATGAATCCAACACAAACCTGGAGATATACAGGCTCCAGGTGAGAAGAACGGGGAGGTCTGTGCAATACACAGAGAACCAGAAGAAGTGTGGTTTAGAGAAGGGCAAAACGAAAGGAAAACTAGTTGAGTGCGTTAAGTTTTATACGAAGATTTGGAGAAATTGTGTTGATTTGGTAAAAAATTACAAATGTGTGTATACACCCAAATATATATAATTTTTATAAGGATCTTGAAAGAGTGAAAGTAATGTCCACTGAAAATACTTTGAGAAGCTGCAGAGGGACCAGACGTGTAAGTGCATAGGGACTGTAAGGATTCGATGTCGGGAGGGGGCTGGCTGGTGCCCCTGTGGCCACGAGGAGTGTGGTCTTCACACCGGGCTTGGGGCCTCACGGCTGGACAGCGTGAAGGCCTGCGAAAGGCACTCTGGGGGTGTGGGAGACTTAACACTACAGCAATTTTATGGTTAGTTTATTTCATTGAAATTATTTCTGGGATTAGTTTGGGTGGCTAAGCCTTGTTGGCGCTGTAGTTACACCAACAGTCCTTGTCTTGATAAACTTCATCCCACAACACGGAGCCGTTCGGCCGTCTGTGTGCGGGTTGGGAATGGCGTGGTGGTCAGGGGAAGCAGCCTGTACTCCTCCAGCGATGACCCTGCCTGTGACCTGCTGTTCTCAGCTTGGTCTTGTGACTCTGGGGACACCAGGGACCCTTTATAGGACCCAAGTACGGACACCTCAGGGAAGAAGGGGACAGGAGGGAAGAACTTTTTGTTTTGCTGTTTACAGCTCTACGATCAGTCCCGCTTCAGAGAAGACTAGATGTGCAGTGGACTGTCCATTGAGACTTTGCATTTCTGAAGGTTCTTTTCCTAACACTCCTCAGCAGGTCAAGGAGCTTCTGAGACCCCAGTGAGCTTGTTATGAGAGAGCAGCCTATCTGTGGTGTTGAACTCCCTCTGCGGAAGACACCTCTTTGATCTTTTCCAACATAGTTAAGCATTAGGTGAGAAAGCACAGAATGTATGAAGATTGCTTTGCCCTCAAGATGGTTAAAGGAGGAGAAGCGTTGGCCATATGTGGGTGGCCCCTAGCTGTAGGGAGATGGGCCCCCAGCTTTGTCTTCCACTCTGACCAGCTTTCCTGTCCATCCACTCCCCCTACCCCCCGTTTCTGACATCATACACCTTCAGTCCGGTGGCTTGATCGTTTCCTGCCTGTCAGGCTCCTACCAGCATCCCACCGGGACCCTGTGGCAGGCACCTGAACTCTCCTACTTTCCTCAACTTCCTTGAACCCGTGTCCTCCCGTTGCACCTGGTGAACCAACCCCAGCTCTGGATGCCCCGCCACAGCAGCCCTGCTGGCCAGCAGCCCCTTCACCGCACCCCAGAGGAGGGGACAACCCCGTCACCTCCTGACTCTTACTTGCTGCCTGGCAATCCCTGCCATGTGCCAGGTCATGAGGAAGGAGAATTCAGGTCCCATCCCCAGCTGCCGATGGCTGAATTCCGGGAGGCCCAAGTGCTACTGTGCAAAAAGGGACTGGGAATCCAGACGGCACCTCATCTTTTGTTTTCTCTGTTGGCACCCACCTGCTGTGGTTCTGCTATTCCCCCCCTTGACCAAATTCCCCCCAGCCAACTGCTGTCTGTGCGTCACCACCAACGAGCTCACGTGGGATCCAATCAACTCCCACGTTTGCTGGTCTTTCTCCCCACATCTTTGCCTTAAAAGAAAACCCGGTGCCTCTTTCTAAGGACAAAATTTTGTCTTTAGTCTCCCTCGGGTGGAGTTTCCCCTGCCTCTGGCCCCCAACATCCTTGAGGGTGGTGGTGGGGGGGTGACATGCTGTCCTACCCACAGCACTTCCCCCCCATCCGCACCTGGGCTGTGCTGCCCTCGTGCCCTGCCCGCCGCTGTTATCCACGGACTTCCATGGTGACGGCTATTGGACACTATTGCCAAACCATGGCCTGGTTTTGCTCTCCACCACGATCCCTGCCATCTGGGGGAGTTACTTCAACAGCCACACAGATGACGCCTCAGTATCTTAGAGTTGGAGTTTTGTGCTGCTCCTCCTGCCTTAGCTGTCTACCCTCTGGGCCATTTCATGTCCCCAAAAGCTCTATTTGCTGAAACCACCAAGGTAGATATGCTCTCCTCCTTCTGGTTTGCCTGCTCAAATCCTTCCAGGGCTCCTGTTCTTTGGCAGCACCGGCCTCCCTGTCTGTCATTCCATCTGTTTCTCCCTCCACCAGCCTTCCCAATGCTACTTAGATTCTACAGTGCAAGGTTTCATTCATTGTTTTGCCGACACCCTAGCCCCTTGACCCTTTGTCCTTTCCCTGTATCTTCTCTGTCAAACCCCAACCCTAGATGAATACCTCCATCCTCTGTACCTTGAGCATGAACACCACCGTCTGGTGGAGAAAACTGCACAGCCAGGCAGGTTGCCGCCATGAGAAAGTCCTGGCCATTGACTCCAGCTGAACACTGAGCATTGCACACTCACCAGGAATCCTCTCTCTCTTTTTTTTACAGTCTGTTGTCCTACCTGCTATGTCTTGAATCTCTGTCCCTCTGTTCCCTGTATCCCCCTCAGGAGATGTTCTTGCCTCCCACTTGAACAGGAAGATGTAAACCGTCAAGCAGAAACTTCTTTGCATCTCTTACCAGATGAATAGAACA